GCCTTCCCAGGCACTGTGAAAAGTCGAGAAGACTTGCTGGTTGCGCTCTTCGAAGCAGAGCTGTGACTCCGTTCAAGGGCCCTTAGTGAGAGCTCGCCTTGAAGCGAGTGAGTGAGTAAAGATCTGCGGAGCAGCTCTTTTATATCTCGTCGATCGAAGCTTGATCGCGAGAAAGCTCTTCACCGCCTGCGCAACCTGGCGGTGGGTCCGCAAGCTTATAACTGGTAGAAGGCCTGCGGCGCGTAGCGGCGCCGCGGCGTATTATGCCGCTTCAGTACAGCTGTGTGGTGGTGAGCCGCCACATAATTATTTGAGCAACGGTGAAATAATTATTTTAAAGCGGCGCAAAATAAATGCGAAAGCAACGTGAAAATAAATGCGAAGTATCGGCAATAGTGAAATAATTATTTGAGCAACGGTGAAATAATTATTTTAAAGCGGCGCAAAATAAATGCGAAAGCAACGTGAAAATAAATGCAAAACTATAAAGTATGACGTGAAAGAGCGCTTGTCGGTGAGTGCGTTCGTAGAGTATCGCGAGTCCGTTCGATCGTAGATCGATGCGGACTATTCGGCGGCGCGGATTGGTCGACGCGGTTTTGCCTGCCGGACGGATTACGGTTTTAAAATCCCGGCGAATAAACGCGATATAAGGACTTAGGCTGCCGATTACGCAGGAGTACGAGGACGCTCGTACGAAGGCGGAATTTAGAACGGCGACCTGGCTAGGTGCGCGGAAATGCCTGCAATACGAAGTTTGGTGGCCTAGAGGAGCCAAGTACGCTCGGCGGGTATACGAATATACTCGTATGCGGGAGTCAAGAATACCGAGGACGCTCGGCGGTACACGAGGATACTCGTGTGCTGGAACAGGTATAGAATCCGAGTATGCTCGGTTTTGACTACGAGGACACTTGTAGAGGGATGTTCGCTGTCTATCAGCGAACGGGATCTGGTGAGAAGACGTACAGCCGGGCCTCTTTTATACCCGGCTGGCAGCCGAATGGTTTCGAATCGGCAAGCATCGGCGGTTTCGGCGGCGAGTCCCCCACAAAATGGAATTTCGTAACGGTCGGGTGTGGGGGATTTTCGGCGGTTGACCGCCGTTGTTACGATAAGAAATTTATCGGCGCTCAATGCGCCCTTGGTGTGCTACGGACGATGGACGGTCCGTAGCCGTAACGATGCAGCTTGCGGGCTGCACCGTTACACTCGATTAATCGGTAATTGAACCGAAAATTATTTTATTACTTCATCAATCAGTAATC